CCAAGAGGGAATTTTGCAAAAAAATTAAAAAAAAAAAAAAAAAAAGAAGTTCAAACGTTAGACTAAGGAAGAAGAGTGCCACCCCAACATTTTTTTTGTTCCAAAGCAGTCTGTCTTGGTGTCCACAGGGTCCAAGCACATGACCAGAGTACAGACCACAAGTCAGGAGAGCCTGGAGACAGATTTGGGAGGCCGGCGCAGACAGAGGCCACACCAACATTCTCCCCACACGATCTCGGGCTGTACCCACGGCAGATCGCGTCTGTCCCGGCCGCGTCGGGACTTCACGCCCAAGTAGGAGATGAACACAAGGCGCAGCCCGCAGTTCCGACAGCACTCGCCCACCTGTGCGCCGCTGCCCTGCCTCTCCACCCGCGGGCTGGGCTCTACCGGGAGGAGCGTGCCGGCCGTCGCAGGGCCCTCTGGGACGGGAACTCCACCCCCCGCGGGCCCCCGCGGCTGGGCCGTTGCCTCTTCCTGTAGAGGGGCCGGGAGCCGTGCGAGGATTTGGGAAGGGGAACTCGTTTTCCTTCCCAGGTTTCGGAGACCGAGCGCTCGGCCTGCTGAGGTAAAACACGTTCTCTCGCTTCCGAACTCGCCACCCAGGGAGGCCGAGGGATCCGAGGGGCGGCGGCGGGAAGGGCTGAGCTTGCGGCGAAGCCGGGAGGGATCGGAGGGGCGGCGGCGGGAAGGGCTGAGCTTGCGGCGAAGCCGTCTGTCACCTGGGACAGTGCTTTGGTGCAGCGCGTCGGAACGGTCCATCTGGGAGCAGCGGGGAGGCCAGAGCTTGCACGCGGAGACTGCTCGGGTGGGGCGCCGCGCGCTCGCATCGGGATCGAGTCCCAGAACGTCGGGGAGTCCTGCGGGGGCCGTGGGGGTCGGTGAATGCTGGAGCCTTAGGGGATGGACACCCTGAACCCGGGAGGGATGAGGGAGCAGGGGAACTGGGGGCTTGCAGGAGTGGGAGCTCGGCTCTCTGTCCTGAGCAGGTTAGCGCTAGAGGGAGGCGAGGGAGGAGGCCCCTTCATTTCTTCACTATGAGCGCAGGTGCGGTAGGGCCGGACCTGGGCTCCCCGCTCTTCACAAGGCTGGGTTGTGAGAGGGAGGGAGTGAATGTCGTGGTGGTGGGCGGTTTGCCATCTCAGCTGTCTTACCATAGAATGGCAGCGCTGGAAGAAGCCCTTGAGAACTGCTGGGCTAGCACTTTCTACCTCACTGAGCAGATGAGGAAACTGAGGCCGTGACTTTGTCCACTGTATAACCTGTTAGTGACCAGCTTCCCTATACCTGATGGTCCTGATTCCAGCCTGCGTCTGTCCGTTGCGGGGCCAGCAGG